ACTTTGGAGGCCAAAAGGTAATGGGTCCATATCTTCATTCAAAGTGTTAAAATCCAACAAAGTCTTTCATTTGTGAATGCAAGGACACTTGAAGCTATATGAAGTAACAGAAACCACCATAAAAAATGGACTATTAAAAATTTAGTAGCATTGCATAGTTTATAAGTTTATTCTTTCATTCTCTGTAATTTAAGAAATGAACATATTAAACCAATGATTGATTTTACTAGCTTTCAAAAGGCTGGTGTTATTATAAAATTCAGGTTACTAAATTCCAGTTTGTTTTCTATAATGTTGAAGAAGTTAATGAATCTAAAATCATTTTTAATTTGTGTTTTTAAGAAACACTTGTAAAATCGCATAGTTTTATGACATCAGCAACAAAAAGGGGTGGGAACAAATTTGTAAGGAGGTAAACGTTTTGTATGTCATTGATGTATAAATTTAAAGTTGAGTGTTATAACTTTAGATGTGGAATGTAGTTACCATGGCATCTGTATGGAAAAATAGCTATAGAATATACACAAAAGGAAATGAGAAAGGAGTTTAAAAATTTATTGCCAAAATAAAATGATGAGAAGAGGAAAATAATGCAAGAAATGAGGGACATAAAACTAAAAGGCATACAGAAAACATGGTAAAATGACATGAATTAAGTATTTCCTTATCAGTAATTTCTTTAAATGTAACTGTATTAAATGCTTAAATTGGAAGAAAGAGATTGGTAGAATGGGTGAAAACACATGATCCAACTCTGTGTGTCTACAGGAGACTCACTTTAGATCTAATGTACAAATAGACTGAAAGTAAAAATGTGGAAAATATGTTCTATGAAAATAATAATTAAAAGACAGAAGGGTGGCTATATTAATAGCAGACAAAATGATTTTAACACAAAAAAGTTTATTATGAGAGACAAAGAATGACATCATATATTAATAAGGTTCAATAGAAGAATAAATAAAAATAAGCATTTACATGCCTAAATGAAAGACCACTAAAATGTATGAAGCAAAACCTGACATAATTATAAGGATAAATAGATAGTTCTGCAATCATACTTTGGAATTTCAACAAGTTACTCTCAATAATTTAATGAGATGACCAGATAGACTATAAGGCAGAAAATAGAGGTTTAATACATTAAGCTAATAAGATCCAACAGATATATACAGAGAACTTTATCAACAAAAGCAGCCTATACATTCTTCTCAGGAGCATGTAGGGAATTTTCCCAGATAACTATGTTAGATAACAAATAAAAATACAATAGACTTAAAAAGATATGATCATAAAAAATATTCTCTCCACAATGAAGTTAGAAGTCAGTAACAGAAGTAAAAGTGGAAAATTCACAAGTTTGAAGAAATTTGCAGAAATTAAAAAACACTCAAATAAATTATGGATCAAAGATAAAATCAGAAGGAAAATTAGAAAATACTAAGTGATGAGTGAAAATGAAAATACATTATACTAAAATTATGAGATACAGGAAAAACAGTAAAGGGAAAATTTATAGCTGCAAACACTTAAATTAAAAACCAAGAAAAATCTTAAATCATCAACCTAACTTGTTAATTTAAAGGACTAGAAAAACAAAGACTAGACTAAAACTACCAGAAGAATGTAAATGATAAATACTAGAGCAGGTATAAGTGAAACAGAGAATAGAATTGAATAATTATAGAGAAAATCAGTAAAATCAAATGTTGGCTCTTAGAAAATATCAACAAAATTTAAATACATTTAGGTAGATTGCCCGCGTTATATATATATATATATATATATAGAGAATTGTCAGCAAAGCTTCAAAGTCATATTCATGTACTGATATTCATAGCAGGATTATTCACAGTACCTAAAACATGGAAGCAACTCCATCAAGGAGGGATGAATAGATAAGTTGGATATAGGCATACAAAGTAATATATTACTCACACTAAAGGAAGGAAATTCTGTAATTTGTCACAGTATGGATAATCTTTGGGGAAGAATTGTCAGCAAAGCTTCAAAGTCATATTCATGTACTGATATTCATAGCAGGATTATTCACAGTACCTAAAACATGGAAGCAACTCCATCAAGGAGGGATGAATAGATAAGTTGGATATAGGCATACAAAGTAATATATTACTCACACTAAAGGAAGGAAATTCTGTAATTTGTCACAGTATGGATAATCTTTGGGGACATTATGGTAGGCCAGTCACATAAAGACAAATACTATATGATCCCACTTAGATATGGCAACCAGAGTAACAAAAAGCATAGACAAAAAAAAAGTGGAATGGGTGTCAGATTCTGGGGGTGAGGAATAGAGTCACTGTTAATAATTACAGAGTTTCAGTTTTATAAGATGAAAAGAATGTGGAGATGGGAGGTGGTGATGGCTGCACAATTTTATAAATACATTTAATAGCATTAAACTGTACACTTAAAATGGTTAAGATGATATAGTTTATGTTATGTGTATTTGTGTATGTTAACTACAATAAAAAATTTGGAGAGAGAGATTTTTTTAACCTTGCCCTGACTTTTGAGTTATTACTTAACCATGCAACATTGCAATGTTCTCATCTGAAAGCTAAGATATCTGTTTAGGAGAAATTTTCATGTTCTTTCTACATACCAAATAGCACTATCAATATTATTAACCTTTAATAGAATGAATATCAAAATATGATGATGAAACTCAATTTAGAGCTATTTCAATATAAAAATATACAAAGCAAAAATGCAGATACACAAAAACATGTCACTTTGGCCCAAGGTGACTGTGACATTTGTGTTCAAGCTGCTGAAGTGCTAATGTTGACTCATTGCCTGGCAGATGACAAGGACACTTGATGGGAAGCTGATAGGTGGCATTCTCCGCATATCAGAGTTGCATGTAGGTAGCTGTCCTGAAAGTGTGGCATGCTGGACTTTTTAATGATGAAAAGTAGCTACCAGTGACACTACCATGGACTAAAGTACTAAATTCTGCTCCATCAATATTATGGAATCATTGTTTTGCTTCTCCAGAGTGAGCACCTTTAGAATATTGTCAGATAGTAAATACTTCATCTTTTGTGAATCACAGAGTGTCTGTTGCAACTATTCATCTCTCCTCCTGTACAACAACAAAAATCCATGGGCAAGGTATAAACAAAGGGACGTAGCTGTGCTTCATCATTAATAACATGAGCAGGTGACAGATCTGATTTGCTAACCATCTATTTTAGAAAATAATAAAATTATCATCAAATTATGGTTCTCCTCACAACTTTGGCGGTACCTATATGTACCATATTATACTGGGTTCTATCACTTTTTATTGCAATGCCAATCCTACAGCTAAGCAAAAATTATATGGTGCCAAACTTGGAGAAGCCATCAAACCAGGTGGCCATTTGGGCATACACTTGACATCCCAATATGATTATCTAAAACCTTACATTATTTTCAAAATATTTTGGTCAAAACAACATTTAAAATATAATACTCAAGTTTTGAAAATGAGTTGCTATTCCCCAGAAAAGCTACTGATATTGTGATGGGAAAGAAGGACGGATAAAATGTTTTCCAATTCCTAGAAATGATTTACAAAAATGCAACCGAATCCTGGCTATTTGTCACTTGATCAAACTTATCTTTTGTTTTGCTATAATAGAAGTTAACTCACTGCCAAAGTTCATTGTTGTTCTAAGGCAAAGATCTCTCATCAGCCCAACATTTCACTTTCTGTCTCACTCTAGCATGTCCGAGAATGCCAGCAGTCCCATCAGAGGCCATTAGGAGGATGATTTTTACCTTTGGATTGCCATGTGCTTCTTTATGATTAAATAACTCATTCTGTACATGAGAGCTGCTCCCATTTAACGTGTGGACCAGGGTGGAATAGTATGGAAGTTGAAACAAGGCTTTTGTTCCTACTTCTAAAGTACTACTTCTAAAGATGTGGATTTTTAGATACCAAGTTGGATTTGAGGTGGAGTATCACAGATGTGGGTTTAGGAAACCTTGTTCTTGGCCAAGTTACTTAACTCCTTTGAGATTCTGAACTGCAGTTTCTCTATCTACAAAATATGTAAATGTGATTTACTGGATTGATAGTGAACAGCCAATAGAAAATACCAATAAATGTTTAGCTTCTCTCACCTTTTTCATGTATGCCTATGTGCCTCGAACTATATTTGGTTGCACTATTCTGATAGCAGGTTTTTGCTTTGCTTTTCTTGCCATGTATCACCAGTGTAGTACTGTGGGTATGTACATAAAAAGGTATATAGGGTTTCTGAAGCAAGACTCCATACAATGAAAGACTAACAGGAAGAAAATTGTTGAATAGAAAAGCCTAAGTCTCCAGAGTTGTTCAGCAGTCAGCAAATTCATTCGGTTTATTTTCCTCTGGAAAGGAGCCTTCAAGTGTGGTTTCAACAATTAGAACATAGGGTATTTGCTGGTTCCATCAACCAGTACCTACACCTGCTCTTGAGCAACTGCTGAGTGCTCAGTTAATGTCAGTTTTCCCAAGTAGCTAACTGAATACACTTAGATCCAGTTTGCTCCTGTAATAACCATGAAAAGTGTCTGAAGTCTTGTATAGGGAAGGAGCAGATATTCTAAGAAAGTGCTTTAACACTGGACACAGATGGCATCATTTACACAATATTTATGCTGAGCACGCAACTTAGAATAAACTGATAATTCAGATTCTCCATTACAGCAAATGACCTGAAATAGGCCAGGAAAAAGTCCAGTGCACATTTTAGGCACATTTTTGAATAGATACTGTACCTCAAGGCCATAGTGACAAGTTCTCGTTAATTTCATGTTCCACTTGGAAAGAGAAATCCTGCTTTTGCTCAGTTCTAAGGGGAAATAAGCTTGGTGATAGGTACAGTGAAGCACAGAGAACGTATGTTTCCCTGGAAGGTTTCTGCATGTCCTCATGCTTTCCCAGGTTCCACAGAAGTGTGAGAGAACAGCAGTATTAACACAGCCTATAGCTGACATACCTGAAAACATCATCATGTGCTGAAAGTTCCAGGGGATCCTCTGTTTTCGTCCCAGATTCAGGAGGAAGGAGAGGGGATATATATTGCAGGCTCTGGCAACAAAAATTGCTAGCTGTAGGTAAGCGCAGGAACACATTGAGGAAAATGCTGCTGCACTGAGGGTTTGATTCCTTGCATAAATATTATGTCCTCAAGCTTTCTCTACATTATGACCCAGAGAACAGAGATAAACATATCAATTCATACATGTCCACCTTGCTTCCAAAATTCATCCTTCAATGTTAATACTTGGGAGAAATAATACAGAATCTCTGCCTTTCTTTGAATATATACTTGGCTTAAAACTGGTAGTCGAATCATTCCAATCACTGTAAACCTTCTCATCCCATTTATGTTGCGGATGCCCGACTCTTGCTCAGTTTTGCTGAAAAGTGTGAGGCAGTGACTCTTGTGATACTGTGGCATTATCTTCTCAAGCAGCACTTTGGAAAGGATAAATGTACTTCTATTCACAATTTCCATCTTACTTTCCATCAGTTAATATGCCTGTATCTAGCAAGCTTCACTTAGTTTTGCTTTTAGTGGATTTAGTTTAGAGAGGAATTGTCTATATAAATTTATAATACAACTGCAGCTTTAAGAGGCATTTTACTAAAAATCAATGTTTTATAGGTAAAATCTATGAAAACACTGGTGGTATTCATCTCTCCTTTTTAAAATCATTGTTGTTGTCCCTTATAGGTAGTTATCTATTCTAGTTTGTGCTCAGTAGGATGAAGTCATTTGGGGGAAAGGGAGCTTCTTTCTAAGATCTAGGTTTTGGAAGCAATTGAAAGTTCAGCTGCGTGCTCATTGAAAAGAGACTGAGGAACACATGCAAGAGTGTAGTGGAGCAGGGCTGGAGAGAGGGATCAGTCTTCCTAGCGAAGAGTATCTGCCTGTGATCCAAGGGGAGAGGGAGGGCAGCAGCTGTTGCATAACTTTGTCTTTCCTCGTGCCTCCGTATTGCTTTGGACGGACATCTCTTCCCCTGGGAATGCCTCCTGTCTAGTCCTACAGCTAGGACAGTATTTTGCATTAAAAGCAAGGTCTAGATTTTATTTGTCTCCCTAGGAAAGAAAAGGTGCTATCTTATTAAAATGTCTTTTCAAGTGTACAACGCTTACAATGTTGAAAGTTATACCTACTGTGCTAATTTAATTAGACTCTTATTCTCTCTTAATTTCAAAGTCATGTTTGGAAAAAATCACTGTCAAATGAAAACATTTCTAAAACTTATAATCGTGCCCGCCTTCAGATATACTCTACTTCATCTTAAATATATTTTCCTATAAGAAGCATCTTGCTATAATTGTTATATGAGTGATTTATAATTTTTAGCTAAACACATTTTAAATACTTGAAAAATGTTACACTCCTTTAGCTTTTACCTTTTATTTCCCTCAGTATTCTCCAATCTCCTTATCATGAACAACACGTTTTTAATAAAGGCCTCAGTTTTTTAGGATGTTCCTCTCTAAACTGGAAATTTCATATCTGCTTTGACTTTGAGCTTTGCAGTTAACCTGAGGGCTTAACTTTAAAAGTCAGTAGTTGGTTCTTCTCTCTAATCACGCCATGTTTTATATTTCAAAGGATACAAAGGCTCCAAGTATAAAAGGAGCATTAAAAATATGATTCTGGAAGGTGAACAGCGCCAGGCCCATGTAACAGAAGATGACGTTCTCAGCCAAAAAGTTCATAAATTCAAACAACTGAAAACCAAACAGAAACAAAAACCATTAATTCCAACTCAGACTCGAGTCCATTTCAATTTCTTGTGAGTGTGACTGATGATGGGGTGGTTCTTTTTCATTTAGGCCTTGAGCTCAGTCTCTCAGGGGCCCTGGGCCCCACCATTTCTGCCCAATCATCTGACTTACCTGACTCATGACAGATGCCACAGCTGTGTCACTTTAAGGCTTCCATAGACACCTTCATAGAATATTTTTTTCTTTAAGTTTATCGATACTTTTTAGGCATACTGTACAGCTACACTCAGCATTGGGATTTGCCCTTTTACATGAGGTATCCTGTTTCTTATTTTTTCCGCTTTCCCCTGTCCTCCTTTACCCCCTCCACCCCTCCCTATTTATAGAGACTTTGTTTCCATTTTTTCCTTTTCTCATATGTTTTCCTTTCCCTTCTTTTCTTTCCCCTGCCCTTCCCACTTCCCCTACTCCTTTAGACCTTTTCTTCCACCTTCATAGAATACTAACCAGCATGATCCTCTCACAGAACAATTGCTAATAAACTGGCAAAATGTTCCCTGTTAAATAAATTGAAGCAAAGTGATGTGCTTGAGGTACAGTGTAGTTAATAATACAAAGATTATTTAGCTTCTTCTGAATACTATACAGTAGATGCACTTGAGTTCCAAGGTCCCAGAGAAGTAATTTTTTTAAAAAGCTGAAGCTAAATTACTCAGGCAGTCAAAGGAGAGAAAAGGACAACTTGGAAACTTGGAATAAGGATGAACATCTATATTTTAACATTAGAATAATCAGTATTTTTCAAATCCCAGACTATGAGACTCATTAAATTGACTGATGTATACCCACTAAAAGTCTATAATTTCTAGCTGGTAAAAAGAAAGTGATTGATCCCAGGGATCAGTTTATTAGGGAGAGTACAATAGATACATCAAATTCAGTCTGAAGAATGGAGTAATAACATGCTATGTTGATATTCCCAAGAGTTATTCTTAGACTATTAACTAAACAATTTAAGTTAAACATGAAAAACATTTTCCAACTTCCATATTAAAACTAAAAGAGAAATGTGTCCAGAGGCTACAGTAAAGGAATATTTGGAAGAGCTTTTATTTTATGTTCCAGACTTTTCCTTTAGAAGTTTCTGAAACTTCATTCCCAGACCCGCATAAATCACTGTTAGGGAAATGTCTCTGGAGGCATTCTCTTGACTTTTTAGAGACTCATTATTTTTTCACGTAATATATTTACAGCCCCACAAATAATGTCCAATACCTGTTCACTGACAGTTGACAGAAAGAAAAGTAGAATCTTGTCAGAAAAATTATTTAAAACCAGAAATAGAAAGAAAGGATTAAAAAAGACACAGCTCTTGTGTACAAGATGGTCTTTCTGTAGTGGCAGTGGTCATCAATTATCCTGAGCACTCCTTCCATACAGTAGGCCGGCTGACATAAACAAACATTGTCACTCAAATAACTGCAGAAAACTGGAAAACATGAGTCAGGGAAATACAGAGGATAGGGAAGCTTTTTTTACCTGATTATATTTTTACTTTTTCCAGAAGGGATATGTGTATATCATCTTATTTTGTTCAAGTTGCTCTAACAAAATATCATATACAGAGTTATTTAAACCACAGAAGTTCATATGTAATATTTCTGGAGTGACAGCTGATGTGATGCTGGGGAAAGCCTTCATGGTTTACAAATGGCCACCAACTTCTTGTATCCTCACATACAGGGAAGAGTTATTCTCCCTTGGTCTCTTCTGATAAGGGCACTAATTCAATTCATGGAGATTCCACCATCATGACATGACCTAACTACTTCCTGAAGGCCTTACTTCCAGATAGCATCACACTAAGGATTAGGGAGTTAATATGTGAATTCCAGGAAAACAAAACTTTCAGTTGTTTGCAACTATCTAGTTTTTAACATTAAAAAATATCAAGGTTAACTTCATAGGGCTTCTCTGAGCCATTCTGTAGTATATTTTACCCCAGAAAGAATATTTTCATACCTGGAATAAAAGATAACCTCTTCATAGTAACTATATCTCAATTTCTCTCTGGAGGGTTTATCTTGCTTGGTATAGCCTTGGTAGTTCAGATCTGGAACATGTCAGTAAGGACTAACTCACTCAGATCAGTGCATTTCTCTAGGCAATGTGTTTGGTTCAGAAGAGGATGTGACACATTTGGAGCCAAAGAAATTCAATGAGGTCTTTGCAAGGAAAGCCAGGACAAATATTTTCACCTTCTTACTGGATGAGAAATCGAAGGATGCTGACCAAGGGGCTACTGGGAGCCATCTTGTGATCACAGGGAAAATGGCTGTCTGAGAGAGAAGCTAGGCAATTTCTATCACTATTTAAGCTCTTTCATTTAACCTCTCCAAAGGCAAAATATAGCCCTTGGATTTTTGAGTTAAAGAGAGCAAGAAATCATTTGACTAGGGCTGGAGTTATGTCATTTAAAATTATACATACTCCTTTACATACATGAACGAGTTAAGGAAAAAAAAAACACTTTCTAGTCCATACCAAAAAATTTTTTTTAATGGCAAATCAATTTTTTTACTCTTTTTCAGATAAAAAAGTGTTTCTTTTGCTCATTGCCACCCACTTGATTTTATTCTAATCATTACCTTAAAGAAATGGAACATATATGGGATGTCAGATATAGTTGTTGAGATATGATGGAAATATTTGCTACTCATTTTAAATGGGGGCTATGATTTTAAAAACAGTGGTGCCTTGATTCATGAATTGATTTTGTTGCATGATTCTGGAAAAGATGGTCATGGTCATATTTATCACCCAATGCAGAGTTTGCAAACAAAAACAAAATTTTGCCAAATGCTTCTTTTTGTCAACCAAATTGTTCTCAAGTAAAAACATTCAGGAACCAAGGCACCACTGTATTTGTTTTAGAGATTTGTTTCTTTTGGATAACTTAGAATTTTACTTTTGTTTATTCATTTAGTTTATTAAAATCTAACACTGTCAAACATTCAAAATATGTATATATATGAAATATGTGCATATATATATAATAAGTATATGTGTGTGTGCATGTGCATGCATGCACATACATTTGTATGTATTACAAAAATTGCATTTTGCATTTAGGTCCATTAGCTCCAATGTTGGACCTGCTCTTCATTCCTACTGCTATTCCTCCCTGTGTCAATGCCACACATTTCTAATAGGTACATAATTCATTGTACTATTTCCTAATCTATATTCTCAGAATTTTACTGATTTTTCATGTTTAAAAATATTTTTATTGATGCTTAATCATCCAGATAAGTATACAGATCATGTTCACTTTTTAAGATTTAAAAAAGGAGTATGAGCACTCCAGAATCACTCTTAATCAATTTCCTAGTCTTACTTCGTTACTCCAGTGGAACTATTAGCATTTCTCACACCACAAATTAGCTCTTCTTGTTTTTCAGTTTTGGACAATTGAAATTAAACAATTTGTACTTCTCATTATATAATTGGAATTAGATTATATATACCCTTTGCTATCTTTTTCTTGACAATAAATTAGTGACATTTTTCACTTTGTATGTAATGATTCACTTTTTTATTATAGGAATATACATTTGCGTTTTTTTCTAGTTTGGGGCTATTAATACATTTTTCTACTATATGTTTACCTTCCTAGAGAATTACTGGGATGTCATGCAGTTTTCCAGAGTGGTAGTACCAATTTGCATTCCAAGCAGCAGTTCTAGTTGTATGACATTCTTGCTAACACTTGGTTTCGCTGATGTGTTTTAAACTCACAGTTTTGCCTTTTCACATTGCCATCTGAATTTCAGAATCTTGTTAATTTGCACAAAAATTACCTACCTGTTATTTCACTTGGAACTGCACTGAATTTTGTAAACAAATTTGAGCAAAGCATACATCTTTTCACTATTGAGCTTCTAAATTGATGTACATTGGATAACCTTATCACTCTTTTGGTTTTCTTTAATTTCTCTTATTAATTTCTGTAGAAATATTTTAAACATCTGTGTCTAGATTTATTTCTAGGTATTTAATGCTTTTGTTGCTATTGCAAATAATACTTTTATCAAAGTTAATTTTCTATTTTTTTGTTGCTCAGCTCACATGTATAGTTGATTATTAATGGATCTTTCATTTCATATATTATTACATTTATTTAATAATTTCATCATTTATCAGTAGACTACTTGCATTTTGCACAATCAAGTTTTCTTCCTTTCTAGTGATTACACACTTTGTATCTTTTTGTATTTGTTGTTGTTGCTTCGTCACCCTTGATGAAATCTCTAGTATAGTGCACAATACATGTGTTGATACTGTTATCTTGTTCTCAATCTCAAAAGGAAAACGCTTATTTCTATCAGGTTCATAAAAGCATTTTAATAGATTATATAAATTCCCTTCTATTAGTCTATTAGAGACAATCACTTAAAAGGAAAACAAGAATGTTGTTGATTTTATCAAGTACTTTTTCTTCACCTATTAATATGATCATATAATATTTTTATTCTTTTCATTAATTATTCTAATTAATTTTAAATGCTAAGACAGTCTCACATTCCTGAAATATTCAAGTATGACAAAGAATGTTCCCATTCTTTCCTAAAATGATTAAAAGAATTTTGTGCTTGGAATTTTTTTACAGGAAAGATTTTAAACTATGGATATGGAGCAATCTATTTTAATAGATGTAGATATGAATGGTTAGATTATTTTGTGTAAATTTTAATAAGTTGTATTTTTAAGGAATTTGTCATTCTTTTGCATTTTCATATTAATATATAGTTGTTCATAATATCCTCTATATTTTAATGTCTGTAGTTATGTCTTTCACCCATTCATTAAGGGTAATTTGTCTTTTCTTTTTTATTCTCAATAAATCTTTCTGGAGGTTTACCAATTTTGAGTGCTTTGAAGAAGCAACTTCATTTTCTGTATTGTGCCCTTTCTCCATTTCATTCATTTTTCCCATCTTTATT